GTGGCCTTTGAAATAAAATAGCTTAAGGCTGTCAATTGACCATAAAACTTTGTGCTTCTTTTTGTTTGCTAGGAGACCTCATATCCATCAAGGCTTCGATCTTTCCAAGGTTGGCCTCTATATCTCTCTGATTGTCCATGTTGCTAGAAACCTCCCAGATGTCATCCCAAAGGCGCATTTGAGAGGATTCAACCTGATCCTCTATCTTCTTATTATTTGAAAAGTAGCATCAAGGTACTTGACATGGTCCATAGTCTTGAGGCTTTTCACTGGCATATCTATATAAACTTCCATATCGCACATTTGCATTTCATCATTAGTGATCTCACTGAAGTGTATGTGTCGAGGCAAAAGCACTCCTGCCTCAATTGGACTCATAGCCTCAGCCCCATAGATCATAGAGAAGGGGGTCTCTTCCTTTTGAAGCTATGCCTTGACAATAACATTAATAATTTGTCCAGACAATAACATTAATGATGGTGATGCAATTTTCTCATTGTTCATAAAATCCCCTATAGACTCGCCTTAATTTCAATGAAGAATTTCATGTCTAACTTGTTAAAATTGTTTTGTTAACTATAAAATATATCTAGTCCTCAACTTAATTTTATTATTGTAGCATGACCAGTATCCAAAGAAAAAAATTGCTCAAATCTATATTATATCATTCCATAACCCTCGTAGATTTATATCTTTTATTTTATGAAATTAGGGTTTTCTTCACTTAATGAAGGCTAAAGTTTAAAACAATACATGTTTTCAAAGAATCACTTGACAATAATTTGTGACCTCAAAAAAGAAAAAGTTTTCCCTAGTAAATCTCATAACCAAGTATCTCGAGATCAACGGAGAAAATTAAAAATTAAAACTTTACATCAAGGATAACAATCTTGACTGAAATATAAGTATATTGAATCAATCATACTACTTGTACAATATATTTTACAACTTGATTTACAATGCATCAGCTGGCAAAAATCACATCTATCTATTTAAAAAACTATTTTTGAAATCCATTGTCAGAATTTTTTCAACACACTAATTGTCAATCAAATTGTGCAAACACATTGTACAAGTGGCTTTATTCATATTGAATAGGGTTATGCTACGTATACATCTCGATGTACACAATGTTTGACACCCCCTCACATGGAGGGGGTCCACACATCATAATCCTATTGAATAACTTAGAATTAACTTGTGAAAAATGCACGTTGTATTTCACATGTAACTACATATTAAAATTTTGATGCACCAATTGGATAGGAATAAGACATTGGAAGTTGCAAATTGGACACAGAAATCAGTCCCTATTCTCTCTCTTTGGCTCTTGCACTTTTCCTTATGTCTCATATTGGAATCTCTCTCTCTCTCTCTCTCTCACACCCCCCCCCCCTCCCCCCCCCCCCCCCCCCCCCCCCCCCCCCCAAAAAAAATTTGTAAAGAATTATTTGTGGCTCAAATTGCTCTGGTTCTCCATGGGAGCCTTTCTTAGTGCTTAGATGTATACAATTACTACCCTCCAAAATACAGGTGATCCAATTGAGATTTACCACCTGTTTGAGCCACATTATTTATCATTCTTTTTCATTATTTTTTTGACAGTACCCATTTCAATCACACATTCTTCATTAAAATAATATTACACGTAAATAAAAAAATTTCTTTCCTTTTTAACCATATATTTTCCATCAATTTACTATTGTATAATACATTACAAAAAATTAATGAGGCTCAAACAGGACCTTAATATGTAATTACATATACGCAATGTCACCCAACTGATTCGTTAAATCCTCCACAATTTTAATTCTTAGTTGCCATTTAAGCAATCTATTGTTATTGTTTTACATGACCACGTTAGATAGGTCGATAGAATGCAATCGTTAATTTTAAAAATCTAGGAATGCTTACTATGGCTATGCATAAACTATGGTTAGTAGGGGGGTATGTGGCGATTCTTTCTTCATATGAAAGTAGCTCTAACGTACTTTGAGTCATTGATATATGACCGGTTTACTTTGACTAACAATTTACTTTTATGTATAAATAATTGATTACTTTTATTATGATCTAACTAATCAAATTTTTACATTTTTGATCATGTAAATTGTTTAAGGCGATATATCTTTTCAATCCTTTACACTCGCAAGATTAAGCGCATCTCTTTCATCTTGCTCATCGTTGCATTTCATCTTGTGGGGAATGTAGAAAAAAACAAGAGAATCGTTCCAAGAGAACAAATATGCATGGTTCCATCATTCCTATCTTTAATTTGGGACCAAAAAGCACTCAATTACTCCTCACTTTACATATTCTCACTTTGACCTGCCACTAAAAAGTCAAACATGCATTATGTACACTATGTCGAGGATTTAAAGGATCTAAGCTGAATTAATGAGGCAGCTCAACTGGAGAGTGTTTTGACTTCTTTAAGATTGAGAATTTGAGAGTTAGAATAATTTCACCTTGACTATAACTTGATTCCTTCGAGAGGCGAATGAAACTTTTTACGAGTGTATCAAGGATTCATAGCAAAAAAAGTCTTAGAAATATTTCCACGTGCATTATACGTTCCTATTTATTGGAAATTGCAGAAAATCCCCCTGTACGAAACCTTTTGTGTGAAATTCTCCCGTGTCATGAAGATCGGTCAGATTTGCCACTAAAAACACTAAAAAAAAAAAAAATGCTAAAATTAAAAAGGAATAATTGCAGCACCCAAACTTTTTATTTTTTTTACAAATTAAATCCAAATTTTTTTATATGCGTCACCTACAATTCCAAATCTTTAAAACTTTATTTTTCACCCAACCCACTCCACTCCACTTCATTTTGGATTTATTTCGTAAACAAATAAAAATTTTGGGTGCTGAAATTGCAATTATTCCTTTTTAATTTTGTTAATTTTTACTATTTTTAACGACAAATCTAACGGATCTTGACGACAGGGAATTTTTTGCACCAAAGGTTTCAAGTGGCGGGTTTTCTATTATTTTCAATAGGTAGGGGGCATATCGTACATGGAAACATTTTTAGGCAATTTCCTGCTATTAATCCATTTATTAAAAATGTGTTAAATTAATATATGTTTATGTTAACTCTAATTTAAATTTTTTTTATTTTTTTATTTGAGCTAGGCGTCAAGTTGCCTAGTCAATGTAAATCACATAACTTCAAATTTTTTAACCTATTAGAGTAGCCATTTTGTCCATAAGAATTTTCAAGACTTTTATAGTTGAATCACTTCACCTTTAAAGTTTAATATTTATTTCGCACAACTTATTTGAAAATCATTCTTTCTCAATTCATTTTCACCAAAGCATTCTCCTAATGAATTAATTTTGCAAGTGAATTCATAACGGTTCTTTCCTTATTAGCCATACATTCTCAACAACAAAAATAAATAAATAAAATTAAAAAATTAAAAATAAAAATAAAAATTCACTTCAAATATTCTCTTCCAAACAACACTTAGGGTGTCCATGGAAAAGCTTTTTTGAAAGAAAAAGTACTTTTGATTAAAATAATGCATGTTTGTTTAAAGTAAATAAGTGATTATTAAAAAAACACCTTTCTTAACGTTTGTTTTGAAGGGTTAATCCTTAATAGCACATGTTTTCATCTTAAATTTTATTTATTATGTAAATTTAGATGACAAGAAAATATGGCATTTCATATTTTTTTTATTGATTTTTATAGATATGTGTGTCAAATTTTAATACGTCTTAAACCAACAAATTTTAAATAATTCAAATTGTAATTGTTTCGAGACAAATAATGAAATATTAGATTTTGTAGATTTTATAGGACATGAGATAAATATTATTTATAAAAAAATATGAAATACATAATAATTTTTTTAGCGAAATAAATATGCAAAACATGTAATTAATAAATTAAAAGCATTTTTCTAGTTAAGCTATCAAAATCATCGACTTAATAATAATATTCAAAACATAGTTTTTTTTTTTTTAATTGACAATCAAATAATAAACATCTTTTTAGTAACGGCTCTTTTTGAAGGCAAAAAAAAATGTACTAATAAAAGTCACAACCGCTATGCCAAACGAATCCCTAATCTTTTAGGCAGAGAAATGAATTTGAAGTTTGTATTTATATCTTCCATCTTACATTCGACATAGCAATTTATAAGCAAGAAATTATTAGAGGTGTAAACTAGTCCTTGGAGTGATACTGATTGATTTTATAGATTGTGACATATGCAACCCTTGCTTGACACAAAGTTTTTATAGTTGTGTCGATTTATACGTCCTGTCAACATTGTCTTTTTAAGGCATATCCACAACCCCATGCTATTTTTTGTTTGCATAATTTTCTTTTATTTTCTTTATACAATAGAACGTGACACGACCTTACCGTAGAGACTTGCCACTCCAAGGTATGCTCGTTTCTGAAATAGGTTTTTAATGCATCGAACTTGAACAATTTGACACATTTTGATATACTAGTCAAAGTCGAACATATATTGCACATTATTATGAAATGCTTCATAAGTGTTGTAAAATAATATTTGAATATGCATGAATGTTAATTAATTTAAAACTAACACAAGGGAATATATATATATATATATATATATTAATAACACTGAATGCATAAATGAAGATGATATTACTTAAATGAATTTGAATGTTAATTAATTGAGAGTTGATAACAGGGAATTCATATATTAATGAAACACATGTGAATAAAGTATTACATGTGAAATGAAAGTACACGTAAGCTGATAGTAATTAAATGGTTAAATAAATTAACTACATATTGAAAAATAAAAAGTAAAGTTTTATTAAAATAATTGAATTATAGTAAGGTTAAAATCATCTAAAACATGTTTTTCACTTCACTTGATGTGATATTTAATATATTAAAGATGTAATATTTGTAAACTTAAACTCAATCTTAGTTTAGGAGTAGCATTAAGTTTGTTTATATAAGACAAAGGCATCATGTTTATTAATCAAGTACCGTAAAATGGAATCAGTAATAAAGTCTCCACAACTTCTTCCGCCCAATCTGGGATCCCTCCCCAGTCTCCATTAAAGAAAGAACCTCTCTCTCTCTCTCTCTGTGTTTTTATATGTATCTATCTATAACTTTCTCTCTCTATATTTGTGTGTGTGTTCCAAGCAGTTGTCTTCCATTTCATAGCACTTCTTTTGATGGCACTCCTCATGCCAGTGGATACCAAAAAAGAGACCTCCAAACGCAAGAAAAAGCAGCCAAATCCTTCTTCATGGGACCAATTCAAGAATATCTTAAGCTGCAAACAAATCCCAGATTCAAAAATCCATGATCCAGCTTCCAAGAACCTCCCTACAGTTTCCAAATTGGGAAGTTCATGTAGTTCCATATGCTCATTCAGGGATGTTGCCCACGGCAACACTAGGGTTGTTCACAGAGCTGATAACTCACCGGAGGGGAGCAGTTTAGGGCAAGAATCTAAGATTTTGACCAAGAAAAGTAGCCATGGAAATAGATCCTCTTCTTCTAGGTCTATTTATTCTGCTACTTCTGTGAAAACTACATGTAATATTGGCTCATCTAGAGGCATGCAATTGAGGAAGCTTTCAGGGTGTTATGAGTGTCATGCCATTGTTGATCCGAGCAGGTAATCTCTGTTTGACTTGGATAATTCTTATTATACGGAGTCGGGAAATCCAATTCCTCCATTTTCGCGCAGCCATCGACGGTATTTAGCTTTAAAAATGGAAGATAAGAGAAGATTCTTACTGGTTATTTTGTGTGCTGTGTCGGGGGAGGGAGACTTGATTGTGTGTAAAACAGTGCACGTTCGTCTAGGTTTAAAAATTTGCTTATAAGTAATAAATGAGTTAAGTAATACTTTGCTGGTCAAAGATCAATAAGTGAGATACTTATTTGAGAGTAATATATGTGCAGGCGGTTTCTCCTACTCATAAATGTGATACATTTATTTGACAAATAATTATAATCCTTAATTAAAGTCAATTCAACTTTCATTATATATTTCATTAAGATCATAAAAGAGTTTGTTATAATCATTTGAGATTAATGAAATATTAAGCATTGGATTGATTTAAATTAAAGTCATGATTATTTGTCAAATAAGTGTATCAAATTTATGAATAGAATGAACGATTCCAATATATGTTCATGTACAACAACAGACAAATATATTTAATTATGTCTAATCATGTCTAGACTTATGTACCGGACCCTTTTAAATCAAAATTGTTAATAAAATGAATTGCACTTTATGATGGTCAAGTTATTTTCAAGAAAATAAATTTGTGAGTTGTTCTTGATGGTCAAATTATTTTCAAGAAAATAAATTTGTCCAAAAAATAAAATATGATGATGCAAAGAGCTGTTTTTAAGTTATAGGTACCCATTGCCAAGGTCAACTATATGTGCTTGCTCTGAATGTGGAGAGGTCTTCCCAAAAATTGATAGCTTGGAACATCATCAAATGGTTAAGCATGCAGGTACATCTCCTTTATTATTTTTACCAAATTTAATTATTATCTCCGGATATGTTTAGTACACTGATTGAATATGATTGGATAAGGCCATAATCAAATTTTATAACACGATTTTTTTATTTTTTTTTATTTTTTATTTTATCATGTGAAGTCATGTTAAATTTTATATACCAAATCATGCTGTACTCAAATTTCATATTTAAAATTTCAAAAATAATTTCTTTCTTTTTTTAAGAAAAAAAATCATTTGAAATTTTTGAATTTTAAAATTGTTAGTGCAGGCAAAACGTTATTATGCTACAGTTATTAAGGTCTTGTCTTTCTTTTTCACTTCATGAAATCCAGGAAAAAAAAAATTAATAATAATTGTTCTGCAATATACATGTTTCTGTTTGTCGACGTTATATTACATATTAGGTTGCCCCACCGGCAACAAAGGATAACCAAATTAATTACACCTATTTCAATTTCTTTAAATCATTCCTTAATATAATAAATATTAATTTTGAAATTTTCTTGATAATAGTTTGTTAATTTTTTTTTTTTTTTTTTTTTTTTTTTTTTTTTGTTTGAAATTTTATAGTGTCTGAGCTGGGCGTAGAGGATTCAAGCCGCAACATAGTAGAGATAATATTCAAATCAAGTTGGCTCAAAAAGGACAACCCAATATGCAAAATTGAACGCATACTAAAGGTCCACAACACAAGACGTACAATCCAAAGGTTTGAAGACTATAGGGATGTTGTAAAGATACGTGCCAACAATAATGCCAAAAAAAATGCTAGATGTGCGGCCGATGGAAATGAGTTGTTGAGGTTTTACTGTGTTACCCTAAATTGCTCGCTTGGTGCTCGTGGTTCATCTAGCTTGTGTAGCTGCTTGCCAGGTTGCGGTGTTTGTACTATTATTAGACATGGCTTTCAAAGCAACAAGCTAAGTGGGGTTCGCACGACTGCTAGTAGTGGTAGAGCCCACGATTGCCTTGGTTGTAAAGATGCACGTCGAGCGATGCTCGTATGTCGTGTTATTGCTGGAAGGGTGAAACATGCTACAGATGTTATGACGATTGAGGAAGAGGTTGGAGTTGGCTTGTCGACTGGTGGCTTATATGACTCCGTAGCTAGCTGTGGTGGGATATACTCGGATATCGAAGAATTATATGTATTTAATCCAAGGGCTATTTTGCCGTGCTTTGTGGTGATTTACAGGTCACTTGAATCTTAGTAATATTTTGTGTTGATTAGTTAATTTGTACCTTTTTAATTGTACTTGTGGAATCAAATCACATAACTAATCTCAGGTTGGCTAAGCTAGATGCTTGTCTACTTATTTTTGTCTTTTGTGTATATATATTATTTAATGCCTTTTGTATGGTTTTAATTGATGTTATGTATGGTACAACTGAACAACTGACCAACTGACCTACTTCATTAGCAATTAACTATCTTTATTTCTCTCTTTTCTTCGTAATAAATATTTTGAGTTTAAATGAAAAAGAAAGAAAATAAGAAATGATATTTCAATAAAGCAGGTGAAAAGAGATCAATGAATACATCAAATCAAATCAAATCATATACAATCGGTTTTCATTTTAAAGACGTGTACATGTAATATTACATCATATCAAATGGAGTAACGAAAAATATTTTTGCACTCAATTTCATGCGTAAGAGATTTAATATACTCTTTTGAAAAAAACTGATGACATTGTTTTGTTGCGGTGTATTTACCCAAATTTTTAACCAATCGCCATTTTTTCGTAATTTAATTTACATTTTCTGCATTAAAACTCAATCTATTTTTCTTTTCTATTTGAACAATAACATGTTATGTGTGTCTTTGTGGGTTTCTACACATACTATTTACAAAGTGCAATACACTACAAAATAAAAATATATATATTTGCTTGTACTTAAAAGTAAATTTTTTTTACGTAATTTTTTAAAACACATGACATGCTAGTAGCAGGGCATTCTAACATAAGTATATGAACTAGAATTCATGTAATACCCGTTAAATTTTGAAAATTTTTGAACATTTCACATCTCATTTAATACGAATTGAAATCAGAGGAGACATTTTCCAGTGCATCAAGTTTTTGAATTTAGATGAAATTTCAGAATTGGTGGCAGTTGCTCAACTTAAATGAAATGAGTTATTGCTTGGGGCCATCAACAGGCGTGACAGCTAACAAATTACTAAAGCCAAGGTCAAGTTATTGAAATAAAATTTTGAGGGGACCTTAGTAGATTTTTCGTTCGATGAGAACATATTATTGGAGAATGTAAAAAAAAAAAAAAAAAAAGAAGAAGTTGATTTTTTTGTTATATTATTAATGTTTAATACTATGCAATCTACATTATTAAAAAGATGAGCCGGTAAACTATAAAAGTCATAAGACTTCTAGTAAACAAACTCTACTAATCCGTCTAGTAGGGTATAAGATGGTTATAAAATAATTAATTATTTTTAAATATCGGGTTAAATGCAGTGGAATTGGTAATTACAAAACTCTTAGTGAAGTAAATTAGGTCAGTAAATTTCATTTTATTTCAGAAAATAACAAACTAAAATTTCGTTATAATTTGAGGGTTCCATCGATCTATTTCTACTCGTTTGATAATAGAAAAATTGATGTGACAATCTACTTACTTTTCAACTAAATTTTAATTAGTTGTTATACCAACTTTTTCGTGTTCAAGCTAATGAATAAGTACGAATGTCCAGATTATAAAAAATTATTTATGTTCGACAACTAACTTTAAGTAAAATTTGAAATTAATGTTTGACTGAATTTAAATAATTCTCTAAGTTTAGTCGCTGTCTCCCTTGTGATATAATTTGTCCAAAGACATGAACAACAGCGTAAGTGCAGGATTAAATAATTGCTAATATTATTTTTTAAAAGATATAATTTAATATGCAATAGTAGCGAATTATTATAACCACATTAATAAATGAGGAGATAAATACAATATATCACTGAATAATTTCCACCTAAAAAGGATGAAAATGATAGTTTAACAGTTTCATGACAAAATTCTTGCTGTCTTCCACCTAATCTCACTTAAATTAATTTCAACTGAGATTCTGTCGGATTCTTAAACATTAAACCGTTGACCGGTTTATGGATTTGTTATTTTTCTTTGGTTAGAAAATTATAGAAGAAATTAATTTTATTGATTTGTGATTTGTTTGAAATTTGGTACACAGCACACGAAAAGCTAAGTTATAGTTTATTATTGTAAATTTCTATGTTGTATATTCGCACATCATGTGCGATAGTTTATTAGTGAATAGTAATGAATTGAACAAAGTGATGAATGAAATTCATTTAGCTGATTGTTTGTAACTTTTAGTTAATTAACCGTTGATCAGTTTTATGGATTTGACTTCTTCTTCTCTTTTTTCTTTTGGTTAGACGAGTTGGCATTAAAGAAACAATCCATGTACATTACGAGATTTGGTACATACGACGAAAAATTATGTAACAGTTTGTTGTCGTTAATTTCTAAAATATTTAAAGCAATTTATTAATCGACATCTTTTAAATAGAAAAAGATCAACGATAAGCACAAAACAAAAATAAAAATGTTTAAGCTGATCTTGAATTTGTTAGAAATTATTTTTACATTTGTTTACTAATTGTTAAGCAACAAAGATTTTCATTATGTAGCGATAAAAGAAGATTATAATATTGTTTGTTGAGCTCCGAAAATGGTCAAGAAGTATCATTCGAAGGCAATGAACACATGGACGTGTTTTACAGTATATTGACTGTAAATATGTATATCTACGGAAGAAGAAGAAGATGCAAATAATGGACAATTTTACATGGAGAAATATGTCATGTTCTCTTCCATTATTCAAAGATCCATCCCCCCTATTGATACAAGAATCCACTATTTATAATGATCAGGCTGACGTGGTCACTTTTGAATTCGATTCTCGTGGCTTGATCTGCTAGACCTTGGCATCACATCAAATCTATCTCACATTAATTACATTGATAGATATTTGACAATAGGTCAGCCACTCTATATCCTTAGGCTGACATTCCTGACATCAATTTAATGAGAATGTCACATTAATCAATCACTAAGATAAGCTTGGCAGACCCTTTTCTGACCCTTTTTCTAGGCGTCAAGGACTTCGAAAGCAGGGATTCGACCAAAAGAAGTAATCCCACTTCGGATGAACATTGGCTAAGACCACTTCGAAGAATTCTAGTAAAACGACCTCAACGTTCAATGCAACAACCTCAGCCTCTTATCTATGACTCTTCTTTCACTCGGACCAATGCCAAGTGTGTGACCATAGAGCTTCCATGTGGACCTCATTATACCGCTATGTATGATCAGTAATAATAATCCCTCGAGTCTATCCCCCAAGTCTAATTTACGAGCATTCATGTGGAAATTAGAGTTCTTGTTTAACTGAGGTGACTTGGAGCTGCATTTGGAGGGAGATGTTGTTTGAACCGATGTTTGTCTGTTTGATGTTGTAATTATTCATATATGTCAAAGTGCTAAGCTTCAGTAATGTGGACGAGGTGGTTAGAGATTGCAGACGTTGTACAAGGTCAGCTTTGGGGAGTGGGAGGCATTATCGAGCGTTGTGATGAAATGATTAGTCTGATTTACATATATGTGTAGATTGTATTAAGGGAAAACATGCCAACAAATCCAAGAAAGGTGCCAGCAAAAGTTCAGATGTATTAGAAATTATATATACTGATATATGTAGCCCAGATATGGAATCACATGGTCTAAAGCAAGCGTCCCATCAATGGTATTTAAAATTCCATGGAGTAATTTCTTCATTTGGATTTGTTGAAAATCTCATGAATCAATGTATGTACTAGAGGGTTAGTGGGAGTAAGATTTATTTTCTTATTTTATATGTAGATGATATTTTACTTGCAACTAATGATAAAGGTTTGCTGCATGAGGCAAAACAATTCATTTCTAAACTTTTCAATATTTAAAAAAAAAAAAAAAAGAAGAGTCGGGCATCTTATGTCATTAACATTAAGATTCATAAAGACAAATTACGAAGTATTTTGGATTTGTCAAAGGAAACCTATATCAACAAAGTTTTAGAGAAATTTCGGATGAAGAATTGTTTGCCAAGTTAGCTCCTATTGTGAGGGTGATAGGTTCAATTTGAACCAATGCTAGAAAAATGATCTAGAAAGGGAATAAATGAAGAACATTCCATATGCTTCCACTATCGGAAGTCTGATGTACGCTCACGTTTACACAAGGCCTGACATTACATTTGCTATAGGAATGTTAGGATGATATGAATGTAATCTAGGTATGGACCACTAGAGGGCAATAATGAAAATAACAAGGTACCTTCAAGGAACCAAAATTACATGCTTATGTATAAACGGACAGATAATCTGGAAGCGATTGGATACTCAGATTCAGACTTTGCTGACTGTGTTGATTCATGAAAATCAACATCATGATACATTTTTATGATGATTGATGAAGTTGTATCATGGAGGGGTGCTAAGCAAACCTTAATTGCAACTTCCACTATGGAAATCGAGTTCATTTCTTGTTTTGAGGCTTCTTCACATAGTGTATGAATCAAGTGTTTCATATTTGGGCTTAGAATTATATCTTTCACTTCTAGGCCATTGAGAATTTACTGTGACAATTCGCCTACTGTCTTTATGGCTAAGAACAACAAAAGTGTTAGTCAAAGTAAACATATCGACTTTATGTATTTAGTCATAAGGAAACCTATTAAAGAAAAGAAAATGGTCATTGAGCACGTATGCACTGAATTGATGATCTCTAATCCTTTTACTAAAGGCATGCCGTCATTGAAATTCAAGGATTGTTTAAAGAAAATGGGACTTGGCTCCACTATGAAATGATATACATATTTTGTATGAAACTCTTAATTATTGTGATATTTTTTTCATATTCATGCGCGTCTTAATTTATTTGAGAAAATATATCTTTGTAGGACCGAGAATAAGACATGGTCTTTTTCGTTAAGTATTGTTACCTTAAGAAGAATAATTTTTAAGGAACTAAATACATTGTAACATATGGAAGATAACACTTGTTATTAGAAGACTCATCGTCATGATTCATGTGTTTGTTTTTTAAGAAAAACAACCGATGGGATTGACTTGAGACATTAGGATGAATGCATGGTGCCAAATGAGAGACTATAACAGATTCGTTTCTTCTGCCAATTTCTTCAACAGTGAAATTCATGGTCCAACATTCATGGAATTTCAGTTTCAACATTTACTGAATTTCAATTTAGCATTCATGGAGTTCTATTTCACCATCAATTGGAGGATAA